ATCTTTATAAGGAATCTCCCTTTGTCTCTCCCACGTCACTGCTCTCCCCAAGTCCCTCCAACTCATTGCAGTCCTTGAAATGGCAATATTCTCCCAGTGTAAAATTGAAGTAGACTGTGATAATGGATTTGACCCGTGCAACAACAATATCTACATTCAGATATAAGGCAGATGCTGGAGAGAGTATTGTCAGACCTGAAACAAAACTCTGGCCAAGTTTTGTTGTCACTTTAAAAGAAAATAATAGTAGAAAGTCTAAGGTCACTATAGATCTTCAATCAGCTTCAGTACTATCACTGAGATATGAAGAAAGGAAAAAAATTAAGTAAAGCTCCTACACCATCAGCTCTGTCTAATTCAGAGCTCCAGATTCTTCTGACCTTTCCAGCATATATCTGGGTATCAGCAGGAGCACAAGCGCAGAAGAAGGCTACTTCATTCTCCATCCTTCCCAAGGCTCTGCTTTCCTCCTTATATTTTTCCAGACACAAGAGTAATCTGTTTCACATGCACAAATCTGCAGTTTAACAGCAAGATACTCAACTGCTTTTAACATGGTCTAAACACAAGAAGTTAAGCATGGTTACAAGCACAAACACAGGTATCGGGGGCTTCAAATCTGAAAGACAACAAATGGTGTCCGTTTCACTGCTTGCAAATGCAGTAACTTATAGGGAGGCTGGCAGATATCTTGTAAGGAAGCCCATGAGTCCACAGTGAGCTCCAGACACCTCAGCAAAGTTTAAAATAAACTAAAGACTTGATGAGGAAAGAGATTTGGAAAGTAGCTTGCTAGCTTTCTCTTGTAACTTGCATCTTTATTGTTCTTTACAGCATCGTGGCCTTCAAACAACGTTCAACCACTGGTTCCCTTCAAATTCTGACAGAGTGACAGAGCTGCAGCAGCTAAAACCTCAGAAAATTATCTGAGCTGTCCAAGGGGAAGGCTTGCTAAGCATTAGTCCCTACAGATTTGAAAGTGAAAAACATCTGTGTTTCTATTTCACTGCACAACCTCTTAGACACTAAACTCAACCAGGACAGAGAAGTTGGCCTTGATACATACTATGCAAGATGCTGCACTGCACAGATGTCCTGCCTATTGCACACCAGCTGCCTTTAGAGCATTTTGGTTTCCCTCTAGGCTGCTTAGCAGCAAGGACTTAATAGGGCAGATGGACAAGAAGAGGATAGAAACAAAAACTGTTTTAGCCATGCTGTTCAATTTGGAAGAGGGAAGCTGAGGATCAGCCCTAGTTTTCCATTAGTTCTCTTCTTGTCTGTTCAATTAGAAATCTCAAGGCAGTCCTGTGACTTTGGCTTACTATGCTGCATGTGCATGGTGGTCAGCAGGACTCAGTCTAATGAGCGTTAGAGACAAGTATGAAGAGGTGTCATCCCAGCTAACTGAGGTTGCAAAGAGCACTAAAATACAGAAATATCACTTAAAAAAAAAAAAAAAAACCCACACTAAAATTAAGCCACTATTTTGTAATCCCAGCAATAAAACACTGCTGAACAGATGTTTCTGTCCCTGATTTCTGGAAGATTGTCCTCAAAATGCTTTAACAAAGCTTACAGCAGGACACGTATGATTTAAGAACTGATACTGGCATGTCAGTTCCTACCACCTGGACCTACTACTCTCGTTACAAGTTAAGAATTGGTAAGTAAAGCACACTACTACAGTTTTTATGGAGGCATAGGGACCTTGATGTCAGGCAGTAATCATCTTGCTAGATCCACCCCCTGTAGAAAGGAATCCAATGCAATATAGCAACTGGCATGAGACATTATCAGCCAAACAGTTCAAAAACTAAACAAGGTTCAAAAGTCTAGCACACTCTAGAGAGAACAGTGTCTAGAATATGTCTCTGTTTTCACACTAATGGAATTAACTAGAAATAAGTGGTTTCCAACCCCCAAGCTTTGTAAAGGTAAGTTAAAAGCTCTTCAGTAGCTGAATTAACCAGGAAGCAACTCAGGAAGTCTCAGTTTGAGCCAAGGATCCATTAAGCAGAAGTTGATTCCTCCCCTGCTCTGACGGGGTTGCTGTTATCCTGTGGTGCCCCCACCTCCCCCACCCCAACCTGTCCTATTGCACTATTCTCTCACCTTCAGGATCCGGTTTCAAGTCACACAAATCATTCTACAGCAGTGGACAACTGACATTTAGTTGAATCATCAGGGCAAAAGGCTTTTAAGAGAAGCATATGTTTGCAATAAGATCATGAGCTGCCCAGCGAAACTAGTGCCTGCATCATAACTTCAATGGTGAAGACTGCAAGAAAAGAAACATTTATTCTAGGTAAAGTTGTCACCTTTTAATACATTTATTGGTCCATTCCATTAAATTAATTGAGGTAAAGAAATGGTGCATTTTTTTAAAAAAAAATGTACACACTAATAGAGCATTACAAACAATTTTACCTCAGTGTTTTTCTCCATCAGTACTAGTTCCATAGTAAACAATGCACAAAGTATATTTATACAGAGATACATGAAAGGGAATAGAAGCATGCCAGCACCAGAAATCAAGACAACATTTCATAACCTGCTAGTCTGAACAAGAGTATAGTTGTTAGATTTAGTTGAGTACATGAAACAAAAGCCTCATTCCCATTTTTATATCATTTAATCATTTACTTGCTAGTTCACACAAAGACAAGTCTTTTCACAGCTTGCATTTTTGTTTTTAAATGGTATGAGGGTGGCTGCAGTATGTGAAGTGAACACGTTCCAGTGAGCAGGTTTTACACAGGTCAAAAGTAGTACACAGCTTATGCAATGAGCAAGCAACGTTTCAATCTTCAGTACTGATGTCTTGAACATAATGGGCACTAACATGGTCAAAGCAAGCTTGCCTTCATGCACATGGCACAGCTCTCCAAAACTTAAGCGAGGGCAGATGGATGCAGGTATGTAGGGAAGAAAAGAATGGAGCTGCACTATTTTCTTATACTAAAGACAGAAACACCCCTGGTTGTTCATTACTGTAACAAAAATATCTATCCCTTTGGCTGGTGGGAAAATGGCACTGGCTCCAACCCTGCACACAAATCTGAAGGTGTGGATATGCATACCTGCAGCAGAGTTAACAACGTGGTTTAGCTTCAAAGTGTAAAGTACCAAGGCCTTCAAAGTAGGCTCAGATAGCTCCTAGCTTTTAGAGTTTTGGCAACTCATCTACGCAAGAGTAATATAAGCCTTCCCAGAAAGTGCATTACTCTTTGGACAAGTAATACGCTTTAGCCAAGCAACCTTAAGACTAGTCCAGCTCATGATAGAGTGCTTCTGTGCATCAGATACACTGACAATACTCCATTGCGCCAAGTGTAGAATTGGCAGATGTAGATGGAAAGACATCCATTTGATTCCTCAAAAATTGGTTAAATAGCACCCTAAAAAAGTTTAAATGCAACCTTCATATCCCCAAAGACAAGGAGTTTATTCCTATAGTCCCCAGTTTTATTGTCAAAAGTATTTTAACAATACTAGCAAGCCCCTCATTGGTTAGTGTAGTAAAAGGTTATATATCATGGGACAGACTGTTTTACCTTAAAGGAGGCTGAACATCTACTGAGCTACTTTAGTTCATGTCTACCTACCACATTTTGCACACAGTGGTCATAAGCACCAGTATCTTAGATTTTAAAAGTCTGCAACATTAAACATGCACAATTTATTGAGGAATGAGTAAGTTTTAACAAAAAAAGGCTGTTACTAAAACATGGAACAGTCCCTGTGGGGCTGGAATTTTTTCGTATGTTGGTGTCTGCAGGACTGACACCTGAGGCAATATACACCATGCACAGGCTGGCCCAGCCACTCCTCCAAGGCCCTCTGCAGCACCTTCACTTTGCTTTTGCTCCTTTCTATCATTTGTTCCACTGCTCTATCCCTAGCACAAGTGTCGCTGTGACAAAAAAAAAAGCGAAAACAGACTGCATGGAAGAATCTTTAGTTTATTCTTTGATGCAACCCATGTTTGAGGAGTTAATGCCCTTAAAGGCTACACCTAACACCATTTTATTTTTCAATGGATACCTGAAAAAACCATCATGGTGTTTTAATGTTTTACGTTTATTGCAACAGTCGGAATCTGAAGGTGGTATGTATGAACAACACAGTTCATAACTGAGCATGAAAACAGGATCTTAGCGCTTGCTTTATTGTGCTAGTACCCACTGAGGAAGAAACAAACAATCCTAGAAACAGCATGCAAGTAACCAGGACAGCAGTGAATTATGCATTCTTTGAGATAAAACTTGGTCTGCCTGTGGATTAAAAAGAAGATTGGGCTACATTAAGTGTTTAAGGACCTGTATTTTACATAGGCTCATAGGAAGGGCAACTACTTTTGATGCCATTTTACTGTATGCAGAGAAGGTGACCCTAAGTGACAGCACACTCAAGTTACTCAAAGATGAAGCTCCTGCACTACTCATGTCTCCACTTCCCTTCCACAAAATCTTTTGCTTTTCATCATTAACATTTGGGCCCTTCAAATACAGACAACAAAGGATTACAAGATCAGCGTTTCAGAGGTTCACTAGCAGCTCAGTCTGACCTCAGTTAATGCTGTTACTGGGAGGTTAAGTGCACCCTTTATATCTTAAAGGAGTTTCTTGCCCGTTTGTAGCTTACCCACTCTGCCCTGCTGTACCAAATCTCAAAGTCAGGGTTCTCCCCCCAACCTTGTAATCCAGTGGTTTACAGAGCCTTTTTTTTTTTTTTTTTTTTTAAATAAGGAGACTCCTCAGTACCCATAGGGGCTAAGAGACCCACTGCTTCACACTCTTCCATACAACTCTTGCCGAGGACTCTTCTTTTTAATGTTAAGTTTTACTTCCCATGAAGAGGTTTGAGAGGTTTTGCTTTTTCCAGTCATCCAAAAAAATCCTATTAGAGGCCACAGCCTGAGGTAAATGTTCCAGCCTTCCCTCCAGATTAACTTGGTAGGTGCCACAGAGCCACATACTTCAGCAGGCAAAAAAAGTCTGCCTGCCTCTCAACAGCTTTGCCAGAAAGGAATTTATCTGAGATGAAAACATAACTTGGTCAAGTAGTAGTTAAAGAGTCAGACTGCAGAATTAGTGGTCTCAGATTACAGAAGACGTGAACTGCGCTTCAGCAGCTCCAGCAGAAATAGTTGCTTGTTGACCTAAATTTAGCTTGGGACTCCCCGCAATTAGCCTGGGACTCCCCATCATGCTCCTCACATACAGCTGCACTGTCCAGTACTAGCTTCCCCAGAAGCTCAACCCATTTCGGTTTTGACTCATAGCTGAGGGAGAATAAGGCTGAAATATTTGTAAGGCATCAGACAATCTACTCACCTGTTAAAAAAAAAACAACCATTTTTTCCACTCATCCTGCACTCCTTTTTGATGGCGTAGAGGGAACAATGTCTAAATATTAGTTCAAATTAAGTTTCACTTGACTCTCAGTGATGCAGAGTCAACTGGGAAATTCAATTTCACAGAAAGAAATCAGGTCACAAAAGCTTCCTAAGAAAAAACCTAAAGATCTCAGTTTGTGGGAAAGAGGGAAGGCAGGACTACCCTTTGGTAACAGTATCTTATGAGCACTGGAGCTAAGAACATGGCTGGTCTACTGACTGTAACCTTGAGGTGTTCAGATTAATAATATGCATTTACAAGAATTTATTTTAGAAGGGAAGAAGAACAGAGGAAAATACTGGGTTTCTGTTTCCAGATAATCCCTTTAAGCATTCCCTTTGAATAGCAAGAGTGGTTGGTTGGTCTACACCTAACAGCAACCTAAAGCAGAGTTCCATGTTACACCAAGTAAGCGTATGAAAAACTGGCAGCTTAAACCACAAAGTGTAATTTCTGTTTAGTACCCCAAAGCTGTTGAGGAACTAAATGTAAGTTGAGGCAAATACGAAAACCCCTTTAAATGCCTTAAACATGATTTCTCCCCCCCAGGGAGCACCACCACATTAGCCTGACAGCCACCACACTGCAATAACAACTCATCTTGACAGTTGCTATAACGCCTCCAAGCTGAGCAGGGGAGCTTCAGACATATTTAGCATTTAAGGACAAAATCCAAAGTGGTATTTGATACATCATCATCGGATAACATAAGAGTTGGACATTTCCAACTACCGCGCTCAGGTACTTCGCAAGAGATCAAGTAATCACTTAAAAGTTTAGCAGTAACCATTCAAAGCTACTTATTCCCCTAAATCCTGATGTTACTCTCTCCTCACGTCCTACAGATGAAAAGCATTAGCCCAGAATTATCCGCATGCTGTAAATTCAAAAGGATCTCACATCCATCATGGCAGCATTACATTCTCTAGAAGGTACCTAAGGCCAATAACAACACGGAGGCAGTTACCTGAGGCTGGGCTGTAAGATAAAGGGAGAGGAGGGACTTACAGAAACAGTTCCATTTAAGTTCAACAAAAACTTAACAGGAAAACAGATCTGTACCAAAAGAAGTCTCAAGAGAATTGCCATGTGGCTCAGACAGGTATGAACACTCTATGTACCTTACAGGGAAAAAATAAGGTATTACCCCTACTAAATCTCACTGACCTTGTTTAAGGCAAGTTTCACACACGCGATGATGCTTGGTGTAAGTAAGCACTTGACACTTTTTGGCTGCTACAAAAGAATTGAGAGAGAAAGCAAAGTTCAATCTTCACTACAGCAGGCACCTTCGGTGACCAAGCCCAAAGAGGCTCTAATTCAGAAAAAAAATTTAAACATGGATCAGGAATATTCTGCAATGTAACTTTCAGAGCTAGCTTTAGAAAAAAAAAATATATAAAGACTCATCCTTGCTTCCATCATTCCCAGAAGCCTTGAGAGGCTGCTGTTTAACTCACTCCCACACCTAGGCCCTATTTTGATCCCCAAGTCAGTCACAAGTACACTTCAGCCTACTGACATTACTTCATAATCACCAAGGTAAACAAAGATATTCCGTATGAACCAACAACATGCCACATTCACAAAAACCACAGTTCATGCTTGCATCACAAGCTTTCTGCAGGTGGTGTCAGTATGTTCTATCTAGAACCAACCCAACTCCCCCACAAAAAAGTCCAAACAAGTCATTTTATCTACAAGGACCATACAGGTGGCAGCAAAAGAGAAAATATTCTTTTCCAGCCTCCACCCAAAAAACAGATAAGGAGTGGTTAAGGAGTATTGCATCATGGGAATAACTTTTTTAAAGCAAAAAAAAAAAAAAAACCCAGAATGGTAATAAAGATGTCATTTGGCACCTTGCAGTAGAGTTTATTTTCATCTTTTTAGTGTTCCACTCATCAGTTCCTTCCAGACTAAAGAGGTAAGTTTTATTGAGATCCCTGTGCACTTTCACTATGAGCCCAGGATCACTCCATAGGATGGAGAAGGAACCACTCAAGGTAACTCAAAAAGATGAAACATACCCAAGTTTAAACATAGACAATGAGGAAGAAATTCAAATAGTTTTCAGAAGGTCTGTTCCAGCCTAAACACAGCTGGCACTTCAGTTAACTTGACAGAAAAAAAAGAGAGTCCTTCATACAGTTCCAGTATGTCTAGTGGTACTGAGCACAAAGGTTCTAGACTGTCCATGAAGGTACTTCTTATTTGGTCTCTGGCTTGTCTTGCAACAGTGGTATAATCGACTCCCATGCTGTAAGGCACTGCAGAAAAGAAACAAAGATTAAAGAAATGGATTGTAAACAGCTTCCTGTAATTTTTGACCCATCCTTCCAGATCCAAAGGCAGCAAATTCAGGAAGGCTAGCAGGTCTTTTATAGATTATTGCAGGAGGAAAAAAATAAGGGTTCAAACAGCAAGGAAGTTTTAGAAGAAACAGATGCAATTTCTTTACAAAAAAAGATTTTTACAAAAAAGGCCCTGAGGCCTGTACTGAGGCCGAACAGAGTATTTCTAGTTGTGCATCCTGAAGCGATTAGGTGCTTTCCTAAAAATCTTCCTTGCTGCAGAGATGAGCAAAATTAAGATGTACAGATGCAACACCCAGTTGCAGGGACACTGCTGGGCATTCACTCTTTAATCCCTTATACAGCAGCCTCAGAAAGGGGAAGAAATTAGCCTGAACCAAGTTCTTTGTGGCTAGATATGAAGTAGAGAGAAGATATGCAACAGAAACTGCAAAGGAAATGCATATTAACATTACATAGAGTGGTAATCCAGCACAGAAGGCAGTTTATATAGTATATATGGAAAAAATACAATAGGTAAGAAAATCAAGTATGTTACCATACATAAGCCTAATAGGGTATGTACTAACCAATGTATTGGGTAACATTTTCTTCTAGTATCAAGGAAAATTAGATTAACAGCATATGCAGTTGAACTCCAAGACTCTCTTGCTTTAAAAAGGATCACCTGATGTTGAATCTCAGGTACATGCGCTTCAACTAAAGCTTTCTTAGTATAAAAATCCGGTGGAGATACTTGACTAGGTATTTCCAGAACTAACATACAAGCATTTCTTGAAAGCAGACAGAAGTGCTAGAATTTTCATCCTGGGCAGAATCTAACAACACTCAGCTACAGTGACAGAACTATGTACAAGGGGAAAGAGATTAAACTTGTTTATTCATACCAAGCATAGTCTACATATGGATCTAAGGATGTATATTAACCCACACAGTTTGATTTTTAAGAACCACAATCAAAACATTTACCAGTATGAGTATCACTAACACACAGAATTTTTGCTCTCCATCCAAGAAACGGTATCACTCACTTTAGGAGACAAATTACTGCTGCTGATGCAAAAATTAGCAGTTCAGTCCAAGAGAGACAAGCATGCAGTACTAAGTGCTGTTACAGGGTTACCCTGCAAGCGACTGCTATTCTCATACAGATCACCTGAGCATGACCAGCCCTCAGCAGCCTTCAATAGTGCTGTGCAAGCCTTTTTGTCAGCAGCTTTAAGAACTAATTCAGGCATCCAAGATTCTTTTCTGCAAGACAGCATTAACACTTCCTGAAGAATCACCACCTCTGAGAAAAACAAATTACCCTTATTCCAGCCAATGCTATTGCAGTGCCACATACCTTCTCGTAGTACTGGATGTTTTTATCCGCCATCCCCATGAGTAGTTGCCTAAAGTCTTGTCGCTTGTTGTTCTGCCATCTCTCCATATCTGCTTTCAGGTCAGCATTGAAACACTCTACTCGGTCTTGACATTTCTCAACATCTGTGGGTACCTGAAGCAAAAGAAATTAAGACTGAAATGTGTGCTGAGAGTGCTAGACTCCTGTATTAGTTGGAATCTCATTGAACAAGGTTAGAGATAAAAGGGTAAGTGGTTACCCCAAATAAACTCAGCTACGGCTAGAGAGAAAAGCCCCAAATCAAGGCAAAGATAAGATTGCTTAACGCGTTCTATGCTATTTGAGGGGGCCGGCTGTTGTGTTTATCTATCTCCACACCAGAAATCGAGACAGATTGAGAAAGAGCTTGCTAGAGGCACACGAAGAGGAAAGCCATTCCACTTAAGTGCTAGGTGACTAGACTTAGTTTCTGATTCTCAAACTGAGCAGCTTGACTGCAACTATAGAGCAAGCTTTCTCTCTGCCTTCTCACTTACAGCTGAACTAGATATTTCCTCATTTTCATATTATATATTACACAAGAAACATTTAGCTTTGTCCAATGAGTGGGCTGATAAGAGCTGAAGTACAGTATCTTGACTGTAGTAGACAAAGCACAGAGCTTTTCATAAAAGTATTGCTAAAGTAGCACAAACCTTAAACATACGGCGTGAGAAATAGCTTTGTGCAAGCCAAGCCAAACATGCGCAAGTCACAAACAAATGAATACAATGGACAACGAGGCATTTGTTTTGTTCCACAGCCACCAGCTGAGATCAGCTACCCTTTACCTGCAGCTCACAGAACGGAATATGACAAGGTTCCTCTACAGGGCTTCCAGTGTATAAAAGTTAAGAACCAGTTTTAGCTAGCGATGCTTCCATGTGAAGAATAATGTGGAAGAAGCCTTGAAAATTTACCTGAGTGCTTCTGCTGCAAAATACCAGAGGTGAAACCCTTTGCGAGAAGAATTGTATCCACTGTTTGTGAGGATGGGGATTTCTACTCCTTCCTGGGCACTGGCATCCCTTTTAATGAGGACATTATAGTTCACATTTCAGCTGCTAGGATCACACCTCACAGGACACAACTCCCTAAAAAAATGCGTAGAAAACCAATGCAGCAGTTCCTCATTCACAGAGCTTGCTTTGCTATGAGCAGTGATCAGCCTTGGCTGCAGAATAGAGTTTCTTCCAAACTTCTAGCTTCTTACCCCAGTTTTAACTTATAGGCTGCCTAAAAATGCAAGCACAAAGCAATTACGATCATAATGGAAAGAGAACTGGAGCCATTTTACCATGGATTGGCTGATGGGCCGCTGGGCTCAACATCAGACATAGTCAACCACAAGTAACGGGAGAAAGTCTGAAAGACCGCCTATTACTTAGAGATTTCAATGGACTGGGAGAGTAATCACAAGCAAGTAAGGCCAAAGACATTGGTATTCTTTGCTTACATTGAGCATACCATCCAGCAACTACAGAATTGCTTTACAAGCGTTTCCTCAAGCTGAGGAAACGTGCATACTTTCTCTTCTTTCTCCCCTTCACCTTTCTGATACCCAGACCCCCATAAACATTACTTCTTAGTAAGAGCAGCTGCTTTGCATTACAGACCTCAAAACCTGATGGTTTCGCTTTGCATTACAGACCTCAAAACCTGATGGTTTCACTGTTTATTTCTCATCTTCACAACAGCAACGTAAGCAAGTCACAGGAGCTAAAGGAGAGAGCTTTCTCCTCTCCACAGTAGGGCCAGCTTTGACACGTCAATGAAGAGAAGCACAGTCAAGAGACCTAAGCTTCTGTTAAGTGACAAACAAGGCTGTAAGGAATTTCTTGAAGTTCAGGAGCTTATCTCCACAGCTAAGCAGGAAGTAAGATGCTCTGAGGAAGTCAGTAACTGCTCCTGGCATGTAAGTCTATGAAGGCCAGCCTCTTGTTCTTATTAAGGAGTCTGCTGGTTACTTAACAGGGCTAGTGAATACCTGTTGTATTAGGTCTCTCAGAGAGGAATGCTTTAGATGCCAAAAAAACGCTGAAAAGAGTTGCCATCCACAATAAGTTTCAGGCTGATTTTGGTGCCTTAAAAAGACAGGAGGGGGAAAAAGTCAGACTTCTATCCTGGGAGCAGACACTCAAGACTGCCTTCTTACTAACCTATTCTCTCCTGCCCCCATAACAGCAAGAACAGGAAAGCTATGCACACCAAGAAATAGGGCTGCAAGAACAGAGTTAAGCCAAACCCTGCTGAAATAATTTGCAGTGACTAAGGTAAGTGACTAGTGGTAACAGAGTGATAAAGCTTTAAAAATCTTATTGAGTGCAGAATTTTTGCACTCATATACTTCCCCTAGTTAATTTTGAGAGATACTATTTTAACTCGATCTTCATATTAGCAAATGGATTCTGCTAACCCAGACTTTCCTCTATGCAGTTCCTGTAAAGGAATGGACCTCACTCAGCTTTAAATGCTCTCTTCAGCTTTTAAGTCCTATGATTCTAACTTAGTGTCACTGAGGTAGTACCAAACATCAACAAGCAGAATGAGTGTTATGAGTTTCCACTTCTTAATGTCAGTTTTCTAGCCTTAACTAGCAACGTCATGGGACTTTCAAATAGAATACTCCCCTTGCTATTCTCTATGCATGGCCCCTTGAAGCTGGAAGGGAAAGATATCTCTTTTCAGATGATTGTGCTGCATGGTCATTTCAGAGAGGAAGCATGCCGTGACACGCAGACTAAGCCCATGACCTCAGAAGAGGAAATCTCTGAACTCTAGCATCAGCAGGACAAGCTGACTTCCTCTTTGGAAGCCTAATTTGCAAAAAGCCTAAGAGGAGAATAAAGAACATTTGCAGAAGCTTTTAGTGGCTGCTTGCATACTTCATACTTTCAGGAGATGCCCTTTTTCTTTGAGGGGTAAAAGGAGGAAAGAAAGAATACATAAGAGAATTTTCACAGGTAACACCATAGAAAGTCAGGGGTTTGCTACTACCTTGGAGCTTGGCAAGGTATGCCATTTTAGCAGGAATATGTCAGCTCTGGTTGTTCTGCAGGACGCAGATTAGCACTGACCACTGAAGCGCTTCAGAGACTAACAAGAGTCAACAACAAAGGTCCAACATTTGGGCTGTGATACAGCTGTTCAAGACACAAGCAGCTCCTCCCTCAAATTCATGGGCTTTGAGTATCCCTTCACACGACTGGATTTGCACTACAGGCAGTTCATGGACTCAACAGCTTCACACTTCTTCCACTGCCTCTGAGCACTATACATACCTCTGGCTACAGAATCCAGTTTGCTTTAGCTCAAGACATGAAGTTTGCAAGCTTTGGATGAGAGAACTACCAAACCAGCTGCTGGAAGGCTTAGAAGATACTCCTCTCAAGGCAAGCATGCCTTCTGTCACTTGTAAGTATTCTGCTGCCTTAATAGAAACGATTGGGCTACTAAGAGGAAGATTCAGGAAGTCTGGGAGCAAAACCATGTAAGATTTCTCAATTCAATTAAGTTAGTTTCTAAGCACTCACTAGCTTCTTCCTCCTTTTGCCAGGATCTGCAACCATAAGATTTTACAGGCGTCTGTTCTTGTTCACAGCCACTTCACAGTAACCTGCAGGTTACGAGTGTTGTTTGAGTACAGAGTGACAGGGACAACCCAGTCCTCACCAAATGCACCACACATGCTCTAATTAAGGAATAGCAGCACGGAACTCCAGTAAAATCTCTGCAGGCTTCATGAAAGCAGCCTATGCATGTACACTGGTCCTATTCATAAGGACAAACACCTTTCCTTCCAGGACAGCAGCCTCCCAAAATGGAAGTCATAACTCTGTAGCAGAACTAACATTTTAACTTAATCAAAAGCTTTTAAGTATTTGACATCTTCTATAAGATCAGTGAAACTACAGTGATTACAGTTCAAACACCAAATCCGGACATAAAAGCATCAAAATTGATGATTTACCTCATCTGCTTTTACCAGTGGATAGCATTTAACATTAGGCTAGCAGCAGGGCACTGACAAAAAGGAAACTGGACTTTGAGAGAAGTAGCTACAATTCATTCAAATCGCTGAGAGCAGCCATTTGTAGAACTCCAAAACCCAAAAAGTGGTACCTGCCTCAACCTCTAAGACATACAAGAAGGACACATCACTATTTCAGTGGCAGACATTTGTCAGTCTAAAGTGAGAAGAAGCGTGCATGCAGGTAAGACCTGAGAATAAAACTATGTTCAGGAGTTCGGTCACCTCATCATATGATATGAGGTTGCACACCTAAATATTTCCTTTCATATAATTCCTGTGAAGACAAGTATTTTGAGTGTCTAAGTATACCCCACTTCCAGAATTCAGCATCGTCAAGCATAGATGGCATTACTGAACAGCATGAACATGTCAGCTCTTAAATTCCCTCTACAGCTGCATCGCCAAGTAACAAATGGTCCTGAAGAACAATGAAGCCAGCATTTACTAGGCAATTTATATCTGTACATGACGCTTCTGCCTTCCCAGGTGTTGGGAAACATGCATTGTTACAAGCCTGCCTTCTCTTAATATGGCCAGCTTCTGCTTCTAGTGCTGTACTGCCATATTACTTTTCCCACAGAACACCACACTGCAAAGCCTCGAAGCAGAGAGCCAAAGATCACATTGGGTCATTAAGGGCGACTATCATTTTGCTAAGAGGAAATAAAATCTGTACTTCACTATGCTAGTCAGACTAGTGCAAAAACAGTTCCAGTACATGTCAAATTAGTAAGGGGCACTTCACCCCTGCACTTGCTAAAAACCGGTATTGCTGAAGAGTCTGTAACCCTTCTTTTAAGAAAAAAAGTCACAGGAGAACCTACATTATGCTTTCAAAGGAAACCTCAGTATTCCACGTGATATTTGCTGACAGATAGTTGCATGAGCCTAATAAGCCTTCTGAACTTACACTCTGCTGAGTTTTAAACTGCTCAACTCAATTTTAGAACTACCTGATGACACTGGAGTCTGTGAATCCAGTCAGATTAGGTGCACAGTGAGTCCCAGATCGCCCTCCAGTGGAAGACACCAGCGAGCACAGATAAACCCTCATTTAGTGTCCCAAAACTAGGCCGTTTTTTAGAGTACTTTGTTTTTTTTTTTTTTTTTAATGTAATTCTCTGTAGATCAGCTAAATATACTCAAAGGAGCATAAATGCAATTCACTGCATAAGCCAGCTCATTACCACTTGCATGGTTTTAGTGACAGCAGGTGGCAGCTAACGGTGAGAACTCACTGACAGCATTTGTATTGCTAGCTACAGCTGAGGCAGCTGATCAGCTATTATAGATGAGGTTAATCCACTCGAGGTGGAATGGATCTAAAAAACTAGGAACTAGTACTGTACGAACAAATGTTCTATTTTTTTTTCCCTCAACTTATAAATGTTACAAGAAAATACTAACTTTACAAAAAAAGTATATATCAGGTTGTCAAAAGAAAAGCTTACGATACCCGAGACTCAAGTATTCCCAGAAGTTCTTAGACAGCTAAGTGTTGCACTTTACATAGTATTCCCAGTAAGATATTACGTGTACAGCCTTTTAGCAATTGACTTAGTAGGCACACTTCAGCAGTTCTTCTGCATCAAGATCTTGGTAATATCAAATGCCTAAAAAGCTTCACATGGCTTGCTGGATACACTAGATTCAGTTCCATTCGTCCTATAGGAAAATTAGAGTATCTGCTCATATAAAAACTACACTGCGGAAGTAAGGGGATATAGCACACCAGCCAGTATTGGGGCACACAAGAAACAAAACAAGAGCGTCTGTGACAAACGGACACAAGTCTGGGAAACGCCAGTTAGCCCTTCTGTGGTCCTCCACAGCTTCTGAATTACTGGAAGATTCGCACTGTGTGTTCAATGTAAGAGATGATTACAAAGTAGCCCCAATACTGGAAAGTGATCCTTCAGTTATTAACCGAAAGAGGAAAGGGAGTCAAAAAACCCAAGCAGAGAGAGGGACAGAACAAAACCTATGCTCATCACTGGTCAAAGTCGTAATTTAAGTCATGACACAGCTCCCACCTCATGCACAGGCAGGCAGGAGCACAAGCACACTGGTTTATAGCTTTGCTTCTGCATGAAGTCTGGCCAAGATCTGTCACACAGCGACAGTTGCTGTATCTGTTCAGCATCATATGAGAAGACCTCCCGAGCAGAAAGGGTAACACAAGGAGTCCTCTGCAGTCCAAGTAGGTGTCCTGCAACGTAGTTCAGCGGTGCCACGGCCGAGGAACTTAACTCAGTCAGCTGACATATAGCTAAATTGTCAGGGAGCATTACGCCGCTATTACAGTCCATGCCACTGAACGCTCTCCCAGATGAGTTCTGGGTATTGTTTAGATGTTACACGGGACAGGAATCATTCCTACTACTTTCTGGATGCAGCCACCCTCCTCTGAACGGTGGGAGAACAATAGCAAGTACGTAGCTATACAGGTAATATGCATTCATACCTCGGTCTTCCTCTGACACCAGCTTGCCGCTAACAAACTCTTGCTCTGCCAGAAATTGCAGAAATACAGCGAAAAGGAAACCAGACCTAGACAAGGCACGCTTTCTTCACTTTCTCAAAAAGTGGTTGAAGGGCAAGGTGTTTTTGTAGAGTAGTTTTAAGTGCTAACCTTTGGACGGTCTTCTTTTTTCAAAGCTACTGCTTCCAGTTTTGCTTCATACTCTGCTTGAACTTGGTCTCTCTTCTTCAACACATTCTGCGTGCAAGAGAAAAGACAGCTGTGAGACGGACCCTCTTGTTCCTTCCCTCCCCGCTCTACAGGAAACTGCAGAGTGATACAGCTTGAGTGCTAATTCAGTCATAAGTTTGCCTCTCAGTAATCTGTCCTTTCTTATAGGATTTATGAAGTAGCTTTTAAAAATAAAGAGTGCTAATGCTGAATGCCTCCTTCTACGGTTGGAGGATCAAAACAAAAAACACACACCCATCGGCCTCCAAACAAGCTAGAGGAATGCAAGGCACAAGCTCTCACGTAACCATGGAGCCATAGATAGACCTGGCTAAGTTAGCTCATCAGGTGACCTATTACTAGCATGAAGAGGATAAGCAAAACCATAAAAGCTGTCAAGGATTAGTCCAGAGCTTTTGATATCCTCAGGCAGCAGACAGGTAATAGCAGAGGCTGAGTCAGGAAAAGACCACAGAAAGTGGTAACATCACCCTTTTCACTTACAAAGACTCCTCAAAGTCCTTTACAATGAGCGGTTAAATTCCCCTGTAAAAACAAAGGTCAGCTTGGTTTTTAGACTAGCTTTAGGCTTTGGAGGAGAAAACCACAAAAAATAAAACACCACATACAGAGGCTTATGAAAGGCATGCTTCACGTGAAAATACCGTGCTGAGAGAGTTTCATGTAGTAAACATCTTACTGACAGTGGCTTCTCAGAAGAGACAATAAAAGCTGCTACCTTTATCCTGTACTGCATCCACAGGCCGTATCTTTCTTATGGTTTAAAAGTGGCTAACAAATTAAGTCTTTTTAAGACGACTGCACCATAGAACAAGCAGTTCTGTGTCTGCAAGAGTGCACATTAGTCTCCTATCATGTGACCTGTTTCTTCAGTGTTCACAAAGGAAATAACCCGTAATGTTTTCTAACTCAGCTGATGAAAGCGATTATTAAAATTGCTTAGAGGGAAGTTAGCCAAAACTCACTGCTGAGACACCTGTAAATTAGAGCTCCTCTTGCAGCCAAATTGGCCAGTTCATGCTTCAAGGGTTCCTGCTCCTTTCTGCACCCCAGAAATAATTACCTCATTAGGACAAGAGGCAGTAACTAGTCATTTTAACAGTTTCAGACAACGCTAATAAAAGAGGACTAGTCCTGTGGACTGCTGCCTAGAGAAATATCTACTTGAAAGATTAATTAACCGGGTCTGAGCTCTAGGAACCAGTCTAGCTAAGATTTGTTTCTTAATTAGTGAATGTTAATGTTTGTACACCTTTAATCTTCTTCCTTTTTCTCCCTCTTAAGCCAAGGGAAGATCACCACTGCAGTTCTTCTTAAAAAATATATATATATACACACACACATATATATATAGTCACTGATTTCAGAATCTAAGCAACTACGTGGAATACCTTCATGTGTTTGAGGTTACCAGTATAAACAAAAGCCTGAGCAATATAACAGGCATTTCTACTTTATACTGCCTCTAACTCAAGCCAACTGAAATTTCTCCTCAGAAAAGCAACTACCTCCAGCAATTACATTCAGTCTTCATAAGCACAGTCAGTATAGTAAGTTAGATCTGTACCCAGATTAGCCAATGATTAACAGGTATCAGTAGATTACATTCAAAGGGCAGGTGTCCTATTTCTCTCCAAACACTCAAGTCACTCACTATGGACCATTAACTATACCCATTCTGAACATAGGTTTAGATATCCATTAACGACTGACTTGTAAGTGGTGAAAGAGATGCTGCTTTTCCTTTTGTCTCATATGAAAGGAGGATTAACGCTTCAGGAGTGTCTCAGAAAAGCTCTGTATTGCTAAGTGTCCCCAGACACAACCCATACAATACTTCTGCTAGTTAAGGCCTTAACTAGCAGAGCAGTGAAGTTTTAACAAAAAAAAAAAAAAAATAAAGGTTGCAGAGGGAAGTTTTAGCTTCCTTTCACATAACACACTTCAGTTGTCTGGAAACTGAACTAAACCACTAGTCCCTGTAGAGAAAGCAAGATGGGCCTTGCTTCTACTTCTCTATTATGTATTGAGACATTTCACCTTGGCCTGATTCTTTGAAAGAACCTCAGGATTCTGCCATCAGCCTCCTTTCTCAAGCTGCAACGCTATGCTGTTTGCACTCTACACAGCTTCCCACTACAGCTAGACCTCCTGAAAGGATCCTTATTTACAGCACTCTTTCTTTAAGGAGATAGCTAACTATTCAAGTGACGGTTGCTTTGAAAGTGCATTAAGACCAATGCTCAAGCACACAGCTGCTGACTGTATGATTTGATGGGCCTCGCTGATAGTGTTAAGTGTACAGTGTTCACACAACATTTTCATATCAGCATAAAATTTAAAGCAGAGTTTGTCCCCTACATGGGGGTCTCAGTAGAACACCAATGTACTGCAAAAATGTGGTACTGCACATTTGCTGATTAGCACCTCCTCTGAATCAGGATTTCACATGTGGTCTGGATATCCCACACACAGTCTCTGCTTTAAAACATGCCTCTTCCACCCACAGTCAGTATGCATTTTAACTCAAGCCCACAATCTTAGCCTCTCCCAACTTCTGCAGAGCTTTCAAACAAATCCACTTGCCAGAACCAAGAGACAGGGCTTCCCTGAAATGAGCTAGTATCTATCTCAGCTAGAAGTATGGGGCTTTCCTCCTTACGTGCAGTTCCCTCAGGTTGGCCCCACCAGGTAAGAACAGTGCTCTTTAGCACACTTAAGGGAGCATTAAGCACTAAAACAGTGACAAATACCTTGCAATTCTTGCTCTTGAGGGGCATTCATCTAGTCACTCTAGAAATCAAGTTCCCTTACCTGCAACTGGGGCCCAGTTTGCAACTGAAAAAGCTATAAAGGCTGCATTGACCTCCAAGTACCCAAGGCTTACCTTCCATCAAGTGTCTTGTGCCAAAGCTTTGCTCTGAAGGACTAAAACACTTTTTAATTTCACAAGCAGGCCTCAAAGCAACTGATTATCAGAACTGCACTGCGAATGAAGAGGACAGTTCCGTCAGTAGGAAGTCTCTTGCACTTGAAGAGAGGTCTCATTTTCAGTTACCTCCTGATTATTTTGGAGTTTGGGAAGATAATGCAGTACCTGCATACTGCAGAAGTGGTAACAGACTGACATCCTCTAGCCTAGGAAAACTGAGCTCAGTATGACCTGACAGATTTCAGCACTGGTACTTGGAAGGGATGAGAAAGGGGGACAGTTTGTCTTGGCTGGCAGGAGTTCTCATTCTCATCTCTCAGAGAGGGTAAAACCCATGAGACAACCGCCTGACACTAAGCCTTACTTGTTACTAGTTGCTATTTTGAAAGTGTGATAGAGCCAACCAGTTCCACAGCATCAACACAACTGATGCTCAGCCAGTTACCAGGGAATACAGAGAAGAGGGGGTAAGTCATTTAGGCCACATGAAAGTCAATTCAATAACCTAGAAATTAAGCAAGAAAGCAAGAGTGTCTTGGGCAAAAGAGATTCTTTAGTCAGCTAAAGAACACTTAGCACAGGAAGAACAACTCTGAAGGCCTGCAGCAGAGAGAAAAAAGACTTATAGCTAGACTCTCTATAAGCTTGGAGACTGTATTTAGTGTCTTTGCTATCACCTGACACAGTCTCATTCCAAGAAAGCTTCCCCCCCCTCCCTCTACAGAAAAGTACCTCCCACTATTCAGCTTGCCACTTCAGATGCCATCTTCACTGGGATGTGACACATGTAGCATCAAAAATCAAATGCTCTGGGGTAAAAGCTTTAACTGGTAACCTCACGCTCCGCTTATCTGTAATACACCCCTCCCCCCTTTTCCTACAGAATGAGGTTAAGCCTGAACACCTTGGGACAAGGCTTCTATCCGCCGCTCAGAGCCTGCCATCAGTGCTTGGAGCGTTAGCAGTTCCGTAATGGAAATATATTTGGTTTATGCTGGGGTCAAATGCCATGACTATGAAAGCAAACATTAACTTTGAAGGATTACCGTCAAGCCTTGTGCAAGAATATTTTGCTTCCCCCAAGGGAGACAAAAGTTATACAACTAACCACATGAAATTGGGAAGAGAAACCTGCAAGTGTTTCAATTCTTAGCCTGAGAAGCGCAAAAGGACTAAGATTAAGAACATGGAAAAGGTCTGCCTTGTTTAGACTTTAAGTTCGCAGAAAGCTGTTAAATCTCTAAATGAGTCATACCATAGCCTTGTAATGATTCTTCCAAGAGGAAATTCCTCGGGAGGAATTCGTTGTGCTCTATGCAGGGGCTGCTACTACATGCTGTAGCACGGGCATGCTGTGAAAAGGTCTTACAGCCAGAACTAGAGATGTTTGTTTCAGGTTTCAATGCTGTTAACTCTGTTACACTCTCCCCCATGCAATGCGATTTGCTACCAACGCACCTGAACTTCAGGAGACTAAAAACTATGCTAAAGTGCTTTTATTACTTTTCCATAAGCAACAGGACATCAAGTTCTTAAACAGATTAATAGTCACAGAGCAACATCTTCAAAGAGTTGCTTAGTATGCACAGCACGTTAATAACTCAGCAGGACACATCCCGCTGGGGGGAGGAGAGGGGAACAGTATTTGTCATTTGGACACCTGGCTCCAAAAACACTGCTGCATACAAGTGACAGCTTACAAAGCTGCTAGTGCTGTTTTTGCAGGGCCAGGTCATGACCCAACACTCAAGATCTGAGATGCACCTGATTTTCTAACAATCCAAGGAGGGCTAGATAGCCACACAGTATCTCCTATAGAATACCACCTGCTACTGCACTAAAGGAGTTGCTCACCAATAGTTCACATGCACATTAGCTTTACTGACCTTAGCTTGCCTAATCAGCAAGCGGAGAGATACTTTACCAGGTAGCACCCCACTAAACAGACAGTTTTGACTTGACTATGAAAACATGATCCTTCTCTAATGTATCACTTATCCCCCTCTTCTCCTACCAACAAGCCTTCCCAAAGCTAGGAAGAATGAACTGACTGACATATCACTTCATGCGAACACAGCGGCAGTTTCTTCTGCCACTGGGCTCCCTTTACCTTCATCGATTCCGAGTACAGTATATATTCCCTAAGCACAGGCAGGAAGTCTTCAGACATGTCCTCACTGAGTTCTTCAAGGGCTGTGCAGCAGTTCCCAATGCAGGCAGATACCCCTTCCAGTGGCTCTGCCAGTTCAACCTCCAGCCCACCCCAGGTTGAATAAACAGGTCCATATTCTCGTAGTTCCACCAAGTATTCTGAAAAAGCCAGAGGAAAAAAGGAGAATAGAGAAAGAGCACAGCACAAGGTTCTGCAAACACTTACAGAGAGCAGGAACCTGCTACCAAGCCTGGCAAATATTAACTCTCCTAGGGGTCAAATCTTGTACTGCATTAACATCTTAATGGTTAGAGCTCCATAGCTGCATAGGTGACTGGTCCAAGCTATCTCCTGCTTCACTGACTGCTCCTACAAGTGTCTCTGTACTGGAGGCTTTTATCTGTGCAGGAGACAAAGTCATCTTTTAAACATATGCAAAAGTTGGCTTTGCTTAGACAAGACCATGAAGGTTGTCTTCCCATTCTCATAATTCTATCCGGACTCTTCAAGCTAGATTTTCCAAAAGTCTTTCCAGAAATGACACTTCCAGTAAGAAAGTAGGTCTGTAAAATGACAAGGCTATTTTTAAAGGTATTTGGAGAGTTGAGCTAAGATAAGACACTGCGAGACTTTGGACCTGTTTTAAAGCGGCAAGAGGCATTAGATCTTCCTGTCAGTGTATGTGGCTGGTTACAGGCCAGATTCACAGATGTGAATTCTCTCAGCTGTGCCATCAAGCAGAATAAGATGCAGAGCACTCAGTGGGAAGTGCTATGATAGAATGCCACATCCCTTACCCAGCTGTTCCTTGATAATCCGCTGTGCTATTCTGTCAATCGTACCAAGCTTTAGAGAAAACGTATCTAGATATTCTCCAATAGCTGCAAACTCCAGTGGACGACTTCTTAGTTTGTAGCCTCCTGTGACATATTTGACAGACTCCCCCATCTTTGACAGCAATGCCATTCCTTGTTTTTTGTAAGCATTAAGATCCTGGCAAGGAGCAAAAAACAAAACAAACAGCTTAGAAATATTCTATTTGCATAGTGGAAGATTAACAAGTCAAGAACACTCTCCAGCCAATACTAAATGTTGCAAAGACAAAAGACTGTCTTATGTTTAGGCTTGGACTCATGCTCACTTTGTACAAGATGCATACCTAAGCACTGTTTCAAGACTAGCTCTAGACAAAGATATTCTGTCCAGGAGAGTAGCACGAAAGATATTATAAATGAGTAGTAAGCAGCCTCTCTCGGTGCATGGTCAGAATTTTTTTCCTGTACTGTCACTGGGAAATAGAGATACTAGCACAGGTTTCTTTCCACCAGGTCTGTTCACACCAGTCATTCACACCATGCTAGAGATGGCATACAAGTCATAGTTCAAAACACCAGTAACACATAAATTCGTAGGGCTGACTACAGAGCTACTCACTGCCTTTAGGCATGTCTAGCGGCTCAGCAGCCTCCTCACCCCAACTATGCAGCCAGACAGAAGGTGGGGGAAGACAGCATACAACACATTACAGGGAGATAGTGCAGCTACCCTGCAAGGCAGACTGTAGCTCAGGCTGGGTCTGAAGTAGCCACGTAGCCTGCAGTATAAGTTTAAGCATTCTTGCTAAGGCTTTACATGTTTGCCCAGGCGGACGCTCACACTCTGAGTAAGTTTTTTTTGTTTAAATATATACAGCCTTTAGAGGATTTCCACTTCACGGCACAGAAAACAAGGCTTTTCGTTGGCTAAAAGCCATCCATTTTGCATTTTACTCCTTCCAGCAGAGGTCACTATTCAACACCTCAAAGGAGGCTCAAGAATTAATGAATAGGTTTTTCTTTTCAGTATGAAGATTTTCAAACTGAATAGACATGCAGAGGTCAAGAACTGATACATGAAAGCTTTAAGTGTGCTTTAAAAAAAAATACAATTGCTGTCTTCAAAACATACTATTCTATTCTTTCCAAGTACTCATATAAGCCAAAGGTAAGCCTGATGAAGAGAAGCAGACATCTTAGTAGCTACTACCATTTTGAAAGATGCTTGTTCCTTAATGGCAGTGGTTCCTTAACGCTTAGAACAGATAGAAGGCGAGACCTGTCTGTTAGCAGGCATCATATAAAGACCCTTTAGCTCAGCCGCTTTTGAAGTGTTCTGGTGTCTTACTGGTCCACATGGAGAACTCAAAGAAAGTTTGGTTTCCCTGCTCAACAGGGGAGGGTCTCATGATTTTCTGCAGTAAATCATTCCAGAATCCTAGTACAAGAGAGTAGCATCTCATTGCTGCAGTAAAGCACGTCCCAGTACTAGAGACAACCAGCAGAACACACCTTTCTTTTACCCCCTCCCCACCCAGCCTCTCATTAGAAGCTCTGTATAGTTAAGGCAAAAGAGCTAGAGAGAGAGCTTACCTACATAGCTAGCTCACCTAGAGCTAGAGATTAAGCTTTAGCACTCTGGAGAGAGGAAGGAGGGAAGGGGAGGAGACATGCAAGAGGCTAAGAAAGTTGCATCATACTTTGACAGATAAAAAGCAGAACAATGCTTTCTATGCTGAACTATCCCGGGCGCTAATCAACTTCTGCATTCTGGGCTTGCTTCAGCAGTTAAGTTCACGGGGAAGGAGGGTGGCAGCAGCAGCAGCATTTCACCTTTAGTTTTGCACAAAAGAGACATCTCCTCATTCTCCCTCAAGAGAGTTCTTTTTAATATAGGCTATGATTTGCTATATTCTTGGCCTCTCTTGCACTGGAGGAACGTATTTTGGGGACAAGGATTCAAAATAAGCAGGTCTGGGGAACGAACTCATGAATCCGCAGACCAGTCCTCTCAGCAATGGGAACCCATAAGGTTATGCTGCACATGGGTAACCTGCAGAGTCCCCCAACACATTTTCGCTGTGTTAGGGTGAAGTTCTGGCCAGCCAGCACATGCAGTCTTATTAATGCCATTTTAACTTCATTTCAAGTAAGACTGTAAAAGTGCCTGTTTTTCTATAGTTCCTGTCAGTGATTGGGTTTGGAAGTTACTGGCTTACCTTGGCTGTGAGAAACACATTGAAGTGCTCATTAAAAGAAAGCACTGGATGATCAGTGATTCTTTTCAGGAATTTGTCTAATGCTTTCCTCCTGGTCTCCACAAATTCTTCAGAAAAGCGATCAACAACACCCTTCACCACAAATTTCTCCGGAAGAGGCTGTGAGAGAAGACAGGCAAAACGAACAAGATTCAGTAGAGCAGACGATTGCTTCTGCTACTTGGAAACACACCAGGGAATCAAGCTCCCATCTTAACACTAACTGCATTGCTATGTTTGCTAACAGGACCCATCCATTACAAACAGGAGGTAAGCCCTGTTCTGAATTACCCTTTAACAAGTCTAGGCTAATCCTAGTCATTGCACTGACTGGCTTCAGCTGAGCGCCGCGCCAAGTGAAGCCCCGCCATTACTTACAATAAGCATTTCCAGTGTAACTGCTTCCTGTGTCCTAGCTGCAGCTCAGGAGAGGTCATTAGCAAGAGCTACCCACTGTTCACACTAATGCACATAAATCTTCAGCTGACATTCAAGCAAAGCTGCTCTATTCAAGGAAACCTGGAAAAATCTAATGCCTTTACCAACTTCTTTCAGTCCCACCAATAGATCTGACTTTCTCTCTCTGGAAAGCATGCACATTAAGACTATTATCGGTTTCAAAGTTACGCTTTATGTTTACTCTTGAAGCTTTACTATCCTAAGAGTAAGCACATTGTCTGTCTGAACAAGTCATGACAGCTATTTTCACTTAATTCAGGGTTCTCCTTCAAGAAATCTTTGAGTGACCTTTTTACTGATTTCAGTTGGCAAAGGAAACATATACACAGGAGCCTTCCCCGACTACAACCTAGCTGATGCAAGATGTTCATGAAGACAGCATCTCCAAAACAATTAAAAAAACAGCAAAACCTAACTGCAACAAGGCTTGACATTCAGATCTGTTGTTCTAGTTAAACCACTCTAAGTTGCATCCTAATTAGACTTCTTCAAAAGAATGCTTAGTGCAGTCTTTAGGGAGGAACAAACTTGTTTCCCAGTGCTTTGTAAGCTTTACCTGGAACTCTAGGATCTACCACCTCAGCACCATATGCAGGAGGAAACGGATAAGCTGGGAGATGGGTTTAAAAGAATCCTATTCAGCCAAATACAACCAAGATGACATCAAATAATCACTGGAATCTGGGTATTTTTCAGACCCAGAGAAGGGTCTAACCTTATTACAGAGGCTTCTGACATTTAACACTGTTTCAGCTGACTAAATTCAGACAGCAAGGTTATAAAGGCTTCTCTTGCAAAAAGAGCGGTCTTCTAAAAAAAAATTAAGAGCACTCCTGGCATATTAGTGCTTCAAACTATTTCAAAGCACTTACAAAACAGTCCTGCTAACACCACAATTAGCCTTTGGCAAAACCCAACAAGTTAGAAACAGGAGCACATGGAAGCCTCCTAAAGAGACTTCTGCCGCACAGGCAGGAGGCCTTTATTTTAGATAGCATTAATAATATAACTTGCTTTTCTTACGCACCTCTTATTCTCATCTTAAACGCAGATGTCTACACTACAACATGCGTCTGCTGTAAAGACAGCACAGAATAATTCTAATTCACCCTCTAAAAGCCTAGAACAAGGCCTTTCATGTTAAATGGGCTCCAAAATACCGAGTTATAAAGCAAGTGTCACCTGTTCCACTACAAATTTAAGTAACAAGCAGAGATAGAGGTGCAGTCATTATACATAGCATATACCCAAGTTCTACCTTCAGCACAAGTTGAACCTATTTCAGCAGATTACACCACAAAACTACCTACCTGCAAGTCACACCAGCTGCTGATGACAGCTGTGTTTTGCTTATCTTTTAGACTCAGATAAGAGAGAGATGTATGAGGCAAGAAACCAAAGTTAAGTGCTTTTAAAAAGCAGGAACTATAACCCTTTACTTCAAGAGGCCTTTGTGATCTATACCAAGCAATCAGTATATACAGCCAGCAACTGATAACCCACTTTTACTGTGTGCTGCCTCTCTACCTTATGACCTCCCAGCTTAATAGCCTACTTTTCCCTGCTGTGATATGGGAACAGTAGTGTTCACTGCAGTCAGAAATGGCTTTAACTATGTAAGCATCACCATCCAATGACAAGCTCCTTGGCCAAGCCAGGTTTATCTTTCTCGTCTAGATGACAGATCTACCACTGACTGCATTTATGCTGTTGTTTGAAGGAGCAGATCAAGAGAAGTCTCAGATAGTCAAAAAGGTCAGTAATCAGATTAAGAGGAACCCATGTCCAGCTTAGCTTGGACTGCTGTCTCAGTTGAGACTATCACAGCTCTCCGTACTGAAGAGAGATGTAATTCTTTATAGGAAGGATTTTAGGCAGTCACTGTACCAAGACACAGAAAATAACCCCCCTTTTGGCATTTTGTTTGACAGAAGGTCTGTAGGCATTACAGTATCTGCATTTCTACATACAGAAACTCTTAAAAAGGCTCGAAACATCCTTCCAGAACACTCTGAAGTTGCACTGCATCTGAAGTTGCCATTATCCTCTGCTCCTCACCTACTTTTCAGTAACAAATACATAAAGCATTCAGCAGTCTCCACTGCTATGAAGTTGTATGGAGGAGATTAATCGGCAATTCAGTAACTGCCGTTGCACCGCATTTGTGCCCAGACAAACTGAGAACCACAGCTCTCTACACTGCAGCTGCACTTTTGGGGCTCAGTGTGAGCCTCAAATCTTCCAGATTTCCTAGAAGGGAGCCACTTGAGATTGCCTTGTTCTGCAACAGGTTCCTTGTCCACCAACAGCCATTTGTGCCAAGCTTGCAGCTCAGTGTGCAGGGCCTTCCAGGTCATGGTGAAGTAGTTCGACTCCCTGGCTGTAAATCACCATTCACTACTAGACTATTAGTTGATTGCCATGCAGCCTTCAGGCAGGAGCGGTAGTCTACTGAAATTTGCAGATGAGCTGGAACTATTCAAGTTACTGAGAAAAGAGGGAAGAAAGGAGGAAGAACACCGACTGACAAGGTTTATACAGCTACAATGCATCCCAGGAAAGAGATGAAACAGCAGGAGGCTGTGCAGCATCACAGACATTAAATAATGAAGTCCATGCAAGAGCCTCTACAGTACACCAGATAACAAGCAACGAGCACTTGGCAGCTGCTTGGCAAGCTCCCAAGACACCAGCTCACAGGCAGCTTTCCTTTTATCTGACTTTCAGAAGAAAGTAACAGATGAACCTCATGTTTCTACATTATTCCAGCAAGTTCACCCTTTCACCTCTCTTCTCCTCACCTCCCATTAAACATGTTTGTTATTAAGTAGGGATGTCACATGATTTTGTGAAGGATTTCTTATCTTTGAGACTGAGCCACTTAAGAGAACCCATTTAGATGCAAGTCTCAGAGAAGTTAAGGACATAAGTGTCTCTCTACCCTAGAGCAATATAACTGAGTACTTCTCATACTGCCTAGCCCTTGCTGAGGGAGGGAGGGAGGAAGAAAGAAAGACTTCCCTTCATACCAGACAGGCAAGTTAAGGTATCTGAGCAGCGTGCTTAATTTCCCTGCAACTCACCTCCTTCAGGCCTTTTTGAATCCCTTTATTCAAAAAAGCTGAATGGTGATTCTCACAGGCTTCCTACCATTTAATATCTGCAGAATGAAAAATAAACTGCTGAAGATTGATATCAATCTCTCATCACATAAGGTTGTCAGGCTGCCAGCTTCAGAGACAGAAAGGGCAGAATAGTTTATCTAGTCTTAGCAGCTAAACCTCTGCCCACTGAAAAACACATGCAACAGCCGCCAAGCCAGAGGCTAAGATTTGTAACAATCTGTGCTCTTAATTGTTAGCACAAATTGTTTATTTATTAAATAGAGTCGTTTAAGACCAACTCAAAAGGCCATCTTGAATACTGACTGAGATTAAGACTTGCAGTACCTGTGTAGGTTTTCATAAGCCTCATAGTCAGAAATCTAAACACAGGAATTGGGCAAACACGTGCTGTTTGTGCTAGGACAAATGTAGCTACTTGTCCAATTTTCATGAGAGGTTGCCAAGGCTCACCTCTCAGATGTGCCATCCAAGAAAAGTCTAAACTTCAAAAATAGGTCAAGAGCAGGCAGCTCTTCCCACTCTGCCAGCACTGAATAGAGTGTTGTATTTAAAAATAAAGAGCCGTATCACCACAATAGCATCCCTTGAAGACAGATACACAATTGTCCTTAACAGCAGAGCCTTGCTTACTACCTACGGGAATGAGGTGTGTTGGCTGAGACTCCTCCAACTTGTTCCTCAGCCAGTCAAAGTCTTGATATCGCCGGCGGACAGAATATTCTGGCAAATCAAATTCTGCTCGTGTGGTCTGGAAAAGAAGAACAGCAGATGTTTAGTGCCCTCCTAACAGTAACGATACACCAAAATTTTTCACCTGAAAGTTTAGCGCTGAGTGCAGCACAGCCATCATCGGCAATGTTGAGGCCATACAACCCTGCACTGGGACTCCAGCCTCATATTGGAGTTTACACACAGCATTGGAGACAGATCCTTGGGCCTTTCAAGCAACAGTAAAGCCAGCAATAGGAAAAACGACTGCTTAAAGCTGAGGTGTTCTTAAGGTTCAGGGGTACTCCATTACATGTTCTGCTCAAATAAACTTTCTGAGAGAGGATAGATGAAAGAAAAACAGTAGTGACAACCATGTTAAACCCTTTCTAGTTACACTTTTGAGGGGAAAAAGCTGTATGAAGCTTTCATTCCAAGGATGAGCTTCTTTTAGCAATCAAGAATGAAAAGCAGAAATTTTTCATGACTTGTTTATTCACAGGGCAGATTAACTGTGGGGGGAGAATGTTTTACCGCTGTATTGTATTCTTAAAAAAAAAAAAAAAGAAAATCACAGGTTTATTACACTTCAAGGCCAAAAGATTAGGACCTAACAATGGCTTATGCTTGCCAAAGAACTATGTTTACTGATTTCTGGGAAGAAGAAACCAGTCTGTTTACATTAAGTTTGTGAACTGGTATCTGAAAATTGGCATACATCAAGTTAAAACTTGAAGGAAGTTTTCATTCTTTAGGACAAGGAGTCAAAGTTGTCATTACAAGTTTAAGATAGAAGGTAGACATGCAGAGAAACTGTCGGGAAATGTCTGATCAAGTCCTTGAACAATTTACGGCTTGAAAACCTAACGGAATAGAACCGCTTACACAGTTTGTATTGCAGCTAGCTAAAAGTACTAATGAAGCACCAACTAAGGGACCCTGTTAGAGTGTCAGACACTGTGATACCCCCTAATCAGAAGGTAGATTTCCCTCATAATTATGCGCCACTGAGAGGCGAAACTGAGGGAGAAGCTTAGAGCGCTACACTTAGTTACCTGCAGCATCACCAAGACTGTTTTGCAGTGAAAATGATGATACCAGGCCAGCAGACTAGGTATTTACAGCTAAAGTACTGCACTACAGGGAATCCACCAGCTCTCCTAGCATAGGACCGCCATCAAATCCAGAACTAGGTTTCTTCACTACTCTTCGCTTCCGTTCTCCTTGCTAAATTCCAGGAGAGGATTTCTATTTACTTTCAGACTGATGGCAACTGCCACACACAGCACTATTTGAAGAGGGTCAAGCAACAGCCTTAAAATACTTCCTTCTTCAGCTACTCTCTGGATGGCTCCAGCTCTTCAGTTGCCCCTTGTTACTCTCACCTATCCCCAGTGCAGATCTGCGCAAGTTCTACGCCAGCAGCCTCCTTTTAGAGGGAAACCAGCAGCCTTAATACGCTACCTGCAGAACAATAAATACTATACTACTATACTATAAACTGCAGGACAATATGATATAACCTATGTAGTAGTTTGGTTCCTGGAAAAGGCAGGCAGAGACAAAAGGAAACAAGTCAAGTTCACCTCTTTACTATTCTGACCTGGTAGCTATGATAGTTTCAGTCAATAGATTAACATAATTGCTCCACTGGTGAGTATGCGTTATGTTTGCAGATGAACTACCAACACAAATGCCGCTGTGGATTTGTGATTTAGCCAACTATACCTCAGAGTGGCACCAGCTTATTTAATGTGGCAGAGTACCACTGCACAGGTGAAATTACTGAGACTTAAAACAAAAAAAAGTGATTTATGTGACATAAGAAACTTAGTGCTAATCTATAACAAGACAGTTCATACAGGTGCAGACAACCTAAATCAGCCAGCGTTTCTGGTTGCTCTGTTCTGTTAATATGGAAGGTGTACTTCAGCCTTGCAGAAGGAAAGCTGAAGTTAAACACACACAAAAGAAAGCACACATACACACAACAAGAACTTGTACCAGTTCAGTAGTAGGGAGAGCTTTTGCAAACTAGCTGTCACTAGGCAAAGATCTCTTAAAAAGAAATCACGCAGTACCCACATGAGAGTAATCTGGATCTAGACACACTACAATTTCTCATCAGGTAGCCTGTGGAAGAAGGGGCAGTGTCTCAGCTGCTAGCTTTGAGAAACTTACTAACCAATGTTATGCCAGTCACTAAGGAAACCAACACAGATACTGTTTAGTTTAGAAGTGGGGAGGCAAGGTTCAGATAGCGTAAGTCCTGGTGCACAAACTTTCTTAGTTATCATTCCAGAAAGGTGACCCCACTGCTTTTACACTGCAAGCAAGTTTAAGCTCTCCATATATCAGGCTTTGGTCCTCAAAGGGGCCACCAACATGACAGTACTTCATAGCCATTCAGCATTTCAGTGCTTGCAGTATATGAGCTGTCAACTCTAGGGACCAAATAAGCTTTTCAAAGGCTATTTGGACAACTTAAGCACCTCACTAATGCTGAAAGAATTTGGACGCCTGATCAAACTGTTGATTAACCTAGCACATCTAGTGCTAAGTTGATTAGCTGATTTTCTTCCAGACTGCACAAGTGTTACCCAACAACGCTTAAAGTAAACACCTTACTTGCATTCCACGGTTGTTCTTCAAGAGGGGACGGGAACCTCTGCATGAACACAACACTGCAGAGCAACGCGGCTATGCTGTCACTGCGGGCAGATGTGTAGGACAATCAGATCTTAATCTAAGGCAGAAAGGACTTTAGCTACTTTCAACTTTAGCCTGTGGAAAGTGGCATCTCATTTTGCACTTCCTATTCATTGTGATCATATAAAAGTTTAAGGCTAAGCTGGCCTAAGCAGAAAATTTTCCTACAATACTTTTTAGCATTTTCTAGCGGTAAAGATACAGTATTTCTTGCAGGACTAAGATATTTAGAGCTACAAAGAATGACAGGCCTATGTTAAGAGTGCTATAAGAGGCAGCTGTTGTTTTCAAGGAACCACATTCTCCCCCTCTGCAGCATGAAAGTGAAGTCTTAGTACACTACGAAAATACTTCGGCTGTGGCCTAAAGACGCTTCCTTAGTTCAAAGGAAAATCTTCTCACCAGGACACAGTGCCTTCTAAGTAGGCCAGAGCAGTGTTAATCTTTTTGGACAAGTGGATCAAGCATATTCACAGTAAAGCTACCAAACACTATTTGCTTTGAGTAAGTACAGGCTCCCAAACCAGATGTCAACATCACCTAGGAACTGATGCTAATGAGAACAGCTGGTTAACAGAAATTAGGTTCCAGTTGTGAGTGCAGTGGACTTTCCAGATCACTTCTCCCATTAGTGTAATAAGATTGCATTAATGATTGAACCACAGCACATGCTGAAAGAACTCCAGCATACCTCTTCCAGCAGGCAGTAGCATTCTTAAGCTACTTTTACTTAGTTTTAAACAGCAGCTCTGTAGCCTTCTGTACCAACAACTACACGGAAGCCTGTTTGCCGCCAGTGATCAAGACTGATTTTGATATGAGGCTGCTACAGGAAGTGCTGTGAAAGCAGTAAGCTTTAAGATTAGTTTCAGTGACAGACGGCCACAAAGCGTGAGATGATTAACAGTGAAGAAACAGAAAGGAGACAGACAATAGCAAGATACTTCCCCTTCAGGAAAGAACTCAAACTAAATGGGTGTCGATTCCTTTCTATACAAAGAAAGTCTTTTAAGTTAATGAAAGAAACTGTTTTTGCAAATTTACAAACAGTTCTCTCACAATCAAAAATCAGATCTAAGCTGACACATTAGAACATTGCATAATTTCACGTATCAAAGTAGTTCTAAACAGTTCTGCTTAGAGAAGCAACACCTTCCCCTCACTAACAAGGTACTAAAAGACACTAAGGTCTTGTCATTAAGATAAGGAAATCCAGGGAAGGCACGGAAATCCAGAACATGCCCTAAAATTTTTCCGAAGCAAAAAGCACTAGGAAAGAACATTGCTTCGTACCTTTGTTGTAACCCTGTATGTGATGTATGTCTCCATTGTGCATACATGTTTTTTGGGATCATCAACAGTAACAAAGAGGTCTCTCGTTTCCCCATCCAAGTCATCATCCAGCTGCAGTCTGTTGAGAAGAGATGAGGAGGAGGCTGGGCTAGAAGTGTCAACAGGTGTGCCGTTTGGCAAGCTGAGATCCTGTATTGGAGAGGAAAAAAGTTTTAATAAATGGACAGATTTACTATAAGGTACAGTATTCTTGAAAGATGCCCCCAACAAGCTACACTAGTATACTACAAAGGCTTTTTCTTTTAGCAGCTGCAAGGATTACCCTTTTTCTGGGCAAGCCCTGGGAAAAAATCTGGGGTTTGAACATTACATTGTTCTAATTTTTCCCAAAATAAAGAGAAAGCATATTACCACCATCTCTTGTGGGTGGAGAGCCACAAGAGTATATACACACTCCCTCCCAGAGATACAGAACCAGAACAGTGGTTACACAGTTTCTCTACATGAAGTATTGCTGAACCAATAGTTCCTGATGAGACTGAACCAACTTAAACTCATAAAACAAAAACAGCTAGGCATACCAAGAGGTCTAGTTATAAGACAGACTTCAGGCAACGTGGTAGCAGTTCAGCTGACTGGAATGCAGTCAGCCTTTCCCTCTGGAGACTTCTATAATAGAAAGAGAAACTTGTATTGTAAACAGCTCTGAAGTTAGGGAACTGGACGGGAAGTCTCCAACAGTCTGAGAACTGCCATCACTTTACTACAGGAAAGTGGACGTTACAGTCCAAACGTCCCAACACCAGTGTATGTGCACATTCCTCCTTTCTGAGGTTTCAGGACCAAGCGAAACTGCTGTGCTTTCCTCAGAGCAGTCTTCTCTCCCCTCCTTTCCCAGCTCCAAGAGTATCACCTAGTAGGCACGGAAGGCAAGGACGACAAGACCCAGCAAATGGCCCTTTTAAGGGGCGCGCAACTGAAGTGTTCGGGAAGTCTAATCCCTTGGAACTGACTCAACAAGAGCTTAAAATCTTTTTATCAGATTTGGTACATTTCCACACCTCTAAGTCTTGCCCTTTGATATAAACCCACTACTCCGTACAGCTAGTAATTACTTCACTTTACAGAAATATCTCTGCAATTTCACGTGTTCTCTGCTGTGGTTTCATACAGAGCTAGCTGAGAGCATGTGACAAGTTGTATAACACATAGAAACATCTGACACAAGTATTAGAAAGTGCCAGAGATCCAAGCTCAAAGAGATCCAAGCATGAAATGGACTTTTTGGTTGCTTGTTTGTATAGCAGTGGCACAAAAAAAGGTTATCTTCAGAATGTTTCCCCCGAAAGGGCAAAGATTCCTCGGCTTGTGGGCTTGAGAAATTTTCCTGTAGATAAGCAGCACGTTAAGGAGCATGCTTTAGTTCTAGAACTACTACTTAGCCCCAGCTTCATGTCGTCTTTTTAAGTGGTTAAATGAAACATGCCATTTGAGCAAGACAATTCTGTTCGGGTAAGATCCTGTTTGTCCATCAGGAGCCTTCATGCAATTGTGGTTTACATTCCAGTTAGACAAGAGTAGTCCCTGTCTTCAAAAGAAGTCTTTCTTTGTGGTTCAAGTCAAGAGTTCAGAATTGCAGGCCAGAGCTTGAAGTTCAACCTACTTAGAAAGGTCTACATCTGACAGAAGGAGGCTATTTCTATCATCCTTTGTCCAATGTCTATCATGAGACTACCGGGAGCCTGCAGACAGCCTGCTGCCTGTTCCAGTCCCGCAGAACCGTGATAGCTCCTCACTTTGGAGATTGTCTTATGAAGTAGGGAGAATGCCTTCAACCCAGGCATTTTGGGAAAGGGGTGATCTAAACTACTGTCGTATAATCTCTCAAGTGCATCAAGAAAGCCTGGCCAAGCACAAAGTTGGATGACATAACTACGCAAGTCTGTGCTCCTGTTTGTCCTCCCAAACCACAGACAGCTCTAGCTTCCTTAATAAGCATAGGTCTCTAGAAAAATAGCATTAGGAAAGCCTAAAGACTGCCAGTAACCAACGAACAAACCCAGTGCCCTCCTCAGACTCCACGATGCGAGTCTGCCTGTGCAGTGTTCAAGCTTGTCAGGAGGTAACCAAGTCTGGTCTGTTCTCTACAGAGAGGTTAGATGCGCTCTTCCACCTAACACTCAGAAGTAGTTAACAGCAGATGAGAGGTCTTTCAGATTTAACTGGCAAATGAGCAAGATTTAGAAGGCAGGCACTCAAATACTCTAAGAGGATAAAGGAACAAGATAAGCATGACAAAGCTTCCAGCTCATACAAGAGGTAAAGAGGTTGAACTACATGAAAACTATATGGCTTTGATTCAATACAGCAGAAGTTTGTACAACAGGAAGATGCAATACTACTACAACTCAGGAGATAAGAAAGAGTTCTGTTAGAGTTATGCAAACAGAGCAAGCAGAAGCCACTATAAAAATAAGGAACTGAAGATGCCTGTAGGAATTAACCAGTTTAACTAGACAGGAGAGTGTGGCTGAACACAGTCAAGAGCAAAGAAAACCATCGGACACTGGAGTAGCTGTAGACAAACCTGTTTGTTTCCAAAGGGAACAGAGAGCTCTTCAACGTCCATATGCTATAGCCATTAGTATAAAAGGAGTTGTGCCAGAACTGCAGTGAGTCAAGTTCTAAGCTTGCAGTATGGAAATGAATTAACTTGTGGAAACAGTTTAAGCTTGATTACTGAGCTCTCGAAGGCCTGTAACAAAACTTTTCCAAAAGGTTTAAGAGCTTAAAGAAGATGAAGGAATCTGCTTGGAATATGAACACTCTACACCACAGTCAAAACTAGAAGTACTACAGAAGGAAGTCTGCAGCCACTAGCACGAAGTTAGTGACTTTCCTCATCAATTCTGTTGGGAGATGATAATACCGTAATAGCCTGACTTGCACCTTTTTAAAGAGGATAGGTTTGGGAATGATTGGAACCCATCCCAATCTACTTGATTGTGAGGGTTCATGCCCTCACAGGTTCTATGGAGCACCTCAGGTACTAAATAAAACCTGCGATAGAAGTTTTACCTGATCTCAGCCTCGGACAAAACGCCGCAGATCTAGATCAAATTAAACTTCTAGGCCAACTCTGGTTGCGAGCAGGAGGACTCCTACCTGGGATTAGGGAAATGACATGGGAAGCAGGCATTAAAACTACTTCTGTGATATACTGCCTCATCTGCAATTGCAGAAACCTCTCCTGTCTGTAATGGTTGGCTCCATGCCCTGCTACTTGGCTAGTTTACAGCAGTGCAAGGCCAAATTAGAGGCCAACTATTTGTCCTTCTTAGCGGGTGGAGCCTCCTAGCTAACGGCACAAAATAAGGAACAACACTGATAGCTGCTGAACATTTCTTCACAAGTAGGCAGGATCAGTTTGCCAAAGTCTAACGCTACTGCTAGAAAAATAGGCTTTGAAGTGTCACAGCAGATGACCTAGCAACTTAAGCTGTCTCAGCCTTTAACACTTTTAATATAACCCTCCGCCATCTTAATTAGTACTGGTTTTCTTCCATCTCTTGTGGGACTCGTGGGATTTTTTTGCAGTTGGGGAAGCAAGACAGCATCATCTGTTCTAGTTTGCTTTTACCACAGGAAAAGCAGTAGGTTCTGCACAGCCCGGCAGGAGAGATTTGCTGCCATCTGCACTTCTGCCTTTCAGTTTAGTTATCACACTCATAAGCATTTGGACTGCTACTACTAATTGCTTTATATAACAAAGTGTCTGACTTCAATTCCAGGGACTCGTGCAAACTTTATTTTTACTGTGCCAAGTAGACGCTCATCAACTGTTCTAATTACCCAGCTGCATTACCATAGATCAGTGCAGTTCAAGTTCCAGAAGGCACCTAGTGCTCACAGTGCTCTTCACAGAGGAAGAATGGAAGGGGGGGGGGGTGGTGGAGAAAAAAAGTAGCAAGCCTTTTCTTCACAGCACCTTCTGCTCAATACAGTCAGCCTGCCATGAACCTGATCAGTACCACCGTGGGGAGGAGGGTTGCTGCTTCTGGTAGCCAGGTTAAGTGGAGTGAAGGGCAGGTTCAGTCAGCACATTCTTAGGGAATATCCAAGAAGATTTCCTCATGTCTTATAGCTTTTTCAAAAGTTAAGGGCAAAGATCTGTATCGTCCTGTCCCGTCCCCCTCCCCCCCCACACACACACTCCCCACCACCATCTCTTTAGGCCAGCCAAAGAACTTTGCGATTCAGGTCCTGTTAAGCCTTCACTGGATCTTCTTCAGCAAGTAACAACCACCAGCAGAAACAGTATGGCATTCATCAGATTCTCGATCTACTGGCCAGGTACTCCGGTTCTTTGGGTACCCATAAGTGGCTGTATGGCTAGGCACAGCCTTTTCAAGCACTCCTGCAGAGGTTGCAGGATTCCAAGACATCTAAGTCTATAGATATATGACATCAGATAAGTCTAGCACTAACGATTTAGTTTCCTGCAGTGCAGGGTGGGTATAAGCTAACTGCCTGTATTGGAAATGCTTAAGCATTGCCAACTATGCAGTTTGCTATCTAGTAAGGAAGCAGCTTCACATTCTTTCATTGGATTATACAGTCCAAGCACTTTAACTGGTTAGCTTGCCCAGAAACAGACACTAAAATCTATCAGGAATTCCACTTCTTCCAAGTTTAAAATACAGCTGAAGTTTATAAACTTGAGGTCTGCATGTGAGATGCAAAATGAGCTGGGAAGTTTCCAGCTGATCTCATCCTCTCCTTCCTCCATGCCCCAGGAAATTTTCCAAGACTCCAGATTTACAGAGCAACTTGGATCTACCATAGAGGAAAACCTCAATTGCTTGGTATTTACTCTTCTGGAAGGCAGCTACAGTTAGCCAGCCTTCCCCCTACACTCCACCCCAATGGAGTAGTACATACCAGGGAAGGCATCCAGAATTCAATCCTTAAAGGCAAAAAAAAAAAAAGGTCTACAATTCTGTAGGCTCTAGAATACGTTCAAGTGAAGATCATGCAGTCTCCTGCTGAGTTAAGAGCAGTTACTCTATACCCTGGCTACAAAAAAAATTCAGTGTTAACTTCTACCTTAGCCTTCCCTTAGCAAGTGGAAGACTTAACCAGATTGAAGAGCTATCTGACAGCAGTCCATGAAGGAAGTCAGTGAAGTGGTTCAGCTAGGCCTTCCAAGCAGCACAAATAAGTCTCTCTGGAAAAGGTTAGCCTGGAACCACCTGATGCTGCAAGTACTTGATGTTGCAAGTTTCTCTGAACCTGAGAAAAAACTTCTTCACTTGAGGGTGACAGAGCTTTGGAACAGGTTGCCCAGAGAGGTGGTGGAGTCTCCTTCGCTGGAGATATTCAAAAGCCGTCTGGATGTGATCCTGGGCAATATGCTCTAGGTGACCCTGCTTGAACAGGGAGGTTGGACTAGATGATCTCCAGAGGTCCCTTCCAACCTAAACGATTCTGTGATTCTGTACCTTGTTCCCCAGAACAAGAACTGTAAATAGAGGCAAGTGGTACACTTCACTCCAGTTATCCCTCTCCTCCATTATCCATTTTGAGATCTAATCCGCTTAAGCTAGAGACATGAATCTGAGAAAAAACTTCTTCACTGTGAGGGTGACAGAGCTTTGGAACAGGTTGCCCAGAGAGGTGGTGGAGTCTCCTTCGCTGGAGATATTCAAAAGCCGTCTGGATGTGATCCTGGGCAATATGCTCTAGGTGACCCTGCTTGAACAGGGAGGTTGGACTAGATGATCTCCAGAGGTCCCTTCCAACCTAAACGATTCTGTGATTCTGTGATTTACTGCTTCATTTCCAAAAGGGAAAGCGATGTACCTTTGTCCTTCTGTTTCAAGGCCTTTTAGACGTCCGTTTCCCACAGATAAACAGCCATAGCTAAAGTCATGCCAAGCGGACAATGACTGCACACCATAATTGTATCTGGCTTCTTGGAAAGTCTTATCTTTGTATCTCCAGTACAAGACAGTAAGTCACAGCAAAACTGCAGCTGGTAACTGGAAAACTAAATAGTTGTAAATGTAAATACTCTCAAGAAACCTGTTAAAAACCTGCATTAACTTGGCACTCATAAGACTGTTCAATAGGACTGCTTGTCTCATCCCATCAGGTTTTGAGAACAGGTAGTTTCAGTTTACAGTCTTATCTTTACTACTGAGCTGTACAGGTCATCTTTGTGCAGAAAGAAAATGCATGTTTTCATCCTCTAGTTCACCTGGATCAGTGCACTTGTCACTGGCAGCACAGTACCGTATTAAGAGGATCTCATAGGGTATTTGCATAGTAAAATCTCAGTCTGCACAAGATTATCCAATACCAACCAGAGAAAAGTTTTAAATGCTGAAACAACTCTTCAGATAGGAGGCAGGGGAGGAAAAAGAATGTGCTTCCTTCCCTGATGTGTGTTCAGTTTCATTCTCTTCAACACACCATCATCCTACTTATGTTTCTTACATGCCTGCCACACTTATGTTTCCCCGCACTCTTTGGTCGATACACGGCATCACGCCTCCTCCTCTTGCACTAGTCTTTGGGCAGCTGCTTTAAGGAAACAGGAACAGAAGTACCAAACTGGACTGCAGGCATGTAGAGGTGCTCTGGGTACAGTGGGGAAACAAAGGCAGTCTTCCTTTGCAGGTAGGGAAATAAACAACATGTAGCCTGGGAGGTGGGCAGGCAGCCAGCCCTATTCACTCCCAGGAGAGAAGTAGCACATCATTCCTACACTAACCCATAATCAAAATTTTGCTAAATAGTTCTTGTAGCTTTTGTCAAGCTGCTAACTTCTGAAGCTGGACTTACCCTTCAAAGAAAGGGAAGGGATTGCATGTATGCCAGCTCCTGACAGCTTTCTCCAATAGTGGGAAGGAGAGTAAAATATGTGTGCACATACTCACAAGGGGCAAGCTTACACCCTCGGAAGGTGTCTGCATTTCCCACTGCACTAATCAGCTAGAACTCAGAGAGCACGGATGAGTATTTTAAGAGCAAGAAAGACTAAGCTCAAATCAAAAGCAAGTCTTCTTGCTTTTACATGGAAGGATGTTAGTGGAAGAATAAAAACGCCAAGTGTTCAGTACACAAGCATGGGTTTTTACCTCTTTGAGCTAGAGGGCATTATACAGCAAGTCTGTGGGCATTGCTCTGCTAGACAGAAAGCAGATCCAAGCCACACTTCTGCACTTTCAGCAGCAACACGAGTGTTTTGCTTAGATAACTGGAAAGTCACTTTTGAGGTCCAACTAGATAAAGACTATCAATTTGCTCTCAGGATATTTTAAATAGGCATCAGAATACAAGCATGCTGCCAAGCCATGAGACTCATGACTCTGCTCTGCAGTTCATCACTGACTCCAGTATTTCTGCTCTGTAGGTCAGAGATGCCCAGAGACAGAGACACCTAAAAAGACAGGAATTTCAGATGAAGAGCTTATCTTAATGGCATGCAGTTGGGTACCACCTGAGACCCGGAAGCACAGTCTTGCTCACAAGGGTATACTGATTAGGGCTCTAGTGCAAAGAAACATTTGGCTCAGAGAAACATAGGAACTGGCTTCAGAGACGCTACACGACAGGCGAGCACACTCCAAGCCTTCACATGCAGCTCAGGGGATTCCCACCTCTTCCCTGAGGTTAACAGCCAAGTTCCAAATGCCTTATTTTACTTTGGGGTTTGTTTTGCTGTAAGCCGTCACAGTTAAGCTAACCAGAGCAAGAATAAAAGCACAGAAGTGTTTCCTGCAAACAGTGCTTTCAGTAAGAACAACCACCCATCTCCTATGCCTGTTGCAGAAGTCTTCAGGGACTCAACCACAACATGGCTCAGTTTCGACACCCTCTGCCTGCACAGAAAGGTTAAGTACTAATCAGACCAGCTGTTCACGCAGTCTATCTGGCTACATGTCCATCTTCTCACCAAGTCTAAGACTTCTGCCTCTTTTGTTACTGTGAAAGGGGAGAACGGCACAATACCAATCAAAGCTAAATGTACTTGAGGTTATACTCAGAAGACGACTACAATGAGTGGCCTCTGATATATGTTTCAGCAGCAGTTAAGATAGTCTCTCAGTATTAGAAATAAGCAGCGTCACTGAACTACTTTGTGTACAAAGGCCAAAAGGCTTCGAGATGCTGGGCACTCGGCAAATGAAGTGGGCTATTTGGAGCAGGCATTGATTAGGAAAAATAGAAAGAGATCAAATATACTGCCTTTCACTTATAAATTCTAACAGTAACCTGGCACATGCTTCTCCATAGCCTTTTAACAGAAGTAAAAGTCAGGAGAAATATAGCTTCTTTACCATGGCATGTTAAGTTAAAATGCAAAGAGATGCTCCAACACATCCTCAAGATGAACTGTTTTAACACAAGAACGTCTCAGATCCAAGGTTAGCTTCTAGATATGTCTACAGAACACTAGGGTCTCTGCAAAGAGCTTATCTACCTTCAAAAAGTAAGAAGCCATCCTGGCAACTGTCCAGTGAGATTAGTTAACAGCTACAGAAAGAGGCAGAGAAGTGGTTGTGAGCTGCAGAAGGCAAGCAGATTTTCAATATTAGGCAGACCTGGATAGGCATCCTTTAGCAGAGCAAACTTGTCTTCTTTCTTCTGCAGTATTCAGTAGAAGAAAAGCATCAGGACCCTACTCCATTCTTTCTCCAAAGGACAAAGATTTCCAAGCATTTCTGAAAATATGTAGCTTCTGTCACACATAGCCCCATCAATGTAGAGCTTTTCAATCTTGTCTTTAACTATTGTCCTCTAGCTCTGCAAGTTTTATGTCCATCTGCAAGGAGTTTGTTACCAGAATATTGCTCATTGCAAGAACTGAACTGCCAGCAGAAGCATTCCACAGCTGCATGCACAGGAACAGCATAACCTGTTTTAAAAACGCTAAAGAGCACCTTGTTAAGGCACAAGTCTAACACGCAGTGTTTTGTTTAAAGCTTTTAGAACCTCAGCTCTGACCCTCTAAATAGCAAAGCAGCAGCCAGGATTCAGACCATGAGCAGGAGCCCTTGGAATACAGCATATGACCAGGAGTCATCCCCAATCCAACAAGCCAGATTTATATCTGACTACAGATGGAACAGTTTGTTAAGCCAGTCCAAACTACGCTGCTTTCTCCTGAAGCCATACAGCTTTGTGTCAAAGCACTACAGACATACCCTGCATCAGTTTTCCTGCTTATGCTTTATAAGAGAAGTAAATTTAACGGGTCATAGATTTAACCTTTATCTGGGTATCCAGTGTAACCAAAGTACTGATCTGGCTTAGACGCTCCTGAGAGCCGAGTAATATTTTTTTTAACCTGAACAGGCAAAGAGGCTTCAGAACAAGGGGAGGGCAAGAAAAGGAAGGAAGACCGGGAGATCCACAGATTCTGTGTGTGTAAGTTTCAGGAGGGCAAGTCAGACTGCAGAGTCTTTACCATACAAGCAGAGGAGGCAGAAATAATCAAAGTGGAGAACTAATGTTTTCATCTCAAGCCTGGGAAGAGTTGGAAAACTGTGTTCTTGGAAGAGCTCTGAGTTACTTCACCCAGGTGCTTTTTTAAAGAATAGTCCTCTGTCATGCTTGCTGATAAGCAAGCCAGTTTTCAGTAAGACGGCATTTGCTTCAATAGAAAGGGGATAATTTATCAAGTGTGTGTCTGTCAGGAAAAAAAAAAAATGAAACGATGACTTTACCCCCTCCTTTAAGGGCGGCAAGTGCAGAAAAGTCCTGCCATATTTCCCCACAGTATTGAATATAACTCATCTAGAGACTGATAGAAGGAAGAAACAAGGGAAGAGATCCTACAGACTAAATCTGCTACAGGAAGACCCTTTATTTATACAGCCTACACTCCTGACAACAATGTTTAGCACACATAGCTTCTAATGAAGCATACTGATCCAGAAGAGAGCAGTACAGCGCAGAGAACAAAGTCAGCATACAAATCCTGAAGAGCCCATACTGGCCACTGACAATAAGAGGTATTGATGAAAGCTTTCCAGGGGTTTTCTTGGTGACAATCTGAAATATAGCTTTGTATTGGCAGCATCCCAAGATTTTAACTTTGTTACCCTCACATTAGCATCTGAAAGCCACAGCAAAGCTGCCAGTTCTACCCAGAGAAGCACGCATTTGAGTATCACCTAGGGTAATCTTCTCACTTACCATACCCACCTGTGTCAATGCTTTCACCGTGGGGCTAGCAAAAGGCAGCTCTTGCTACTATTACATGCAATGTCAGAGTGGAGAAAGCTTCTCTGCCCTTCAGCAAGGCTTGCACTGTAGCTTATTTCTGTCTTTTTGAGGAACAGGTCCCACCACTCAAACTCACTGGAAGTGAAGCCGACCATGCAGCCAGACTTTAAGTTGGACTTTTAGACCATGGGAGGCCTTTAAGAAGGATTCAGGAAGTTGAACTGAAGGAGTGCAAGACAGCACTTTCCCACAAGAACAGGGCATTGAACAGTGGTTCAATGTAGTAACAGCTTTCTTGCTAGATGCATCAAAGATAAGCTTTGTCCGTTGCTAATATAGCGGCTTCGAGAAGCCACTAGCTACTCTTATCAGATTTGCAATGTTAGGGTGGCTTAAGCAGAGCTTGTTTTTTCAGACTTTTAAGTTTGAGGGTTAGAGCAAAGAATAAGAATCAATACTAAATCTTATGCTTTAATCCTATAAACCGTCCATCACTTATAACACTATAGACCACTGCAACAATTCCCTTCCAAGATAGGCATGCTGATCTTCAGAGAGATTACTGTCTTCACAGTAGGGTCTGTCTTCTTAATTTGAGGAGCATTATCTAGTAACAAGTAAAGCCAGTGGCTACATTTAGTTCATTTTTCTGGAGAGCAGAATGCTACACAGGTTTCTTAGCCCCTCTGCTCCCTTCCCTAGTTAGTTCTCTTCTACCTAAGACGATGCTGAGACGATGAGTTCCATCACAAGTCCATCTGCAGGAGACAGAGAAAGACATTATCACTTTTTTTTCAAAGTAGCACCCCACCTACTGCTTACTGCTTCATGGAAGAAATCAAGTGGAAGCCATCAGTGTGACTAAGACTCGCATCACTAAAGGAACTTACAGTTTGAGGATGGTTCTAAAGGGATGCTCTTCTGAGCTTCTTCCTTGTCTGCTATATGACCTTTGGATTATTGCTTTGATTCTCACAACTATTTCAACAAGTCCCTCTAACCCATATCACCCATATTCCTATTCAAACAGATACTTTATTTTATGGTTCCTGTGAAGTATTCAGTTAAAGTAGTTGCGGTACTATAACATCACCTGCAGCTAAAGATAACTCTTCTTTCCACCTCCTCTCAATTTAGGAAAACAAAACATGTCCCAAGAGTTAGATCTGTCAATAAATCCTTTGGGTCAGTTTGGCATCAAGATTGCTTACTCATTAGAACAGTTGCAACTCCCTAGCTTGGCTTTCTGTCTTTAGTTTGTCATTGAAGTGTTGCTAGTAACTAGCTTGCTATCAACTACTGCCCCTACTAA